TAGAAGATGGGGAAGAGTAGACTTTTTTTTTAGCAGTAAAAGGCTAATAAATATTTCTTGGCAGAAGTGGTTCAGATATGAATTATATTTACTATCTGAATTTTTTTAGAAATTGGAAAAATTCTGGAAAATTGCTCCTGAATAAAATGTATCCTAGATCTTTGTATGCTTGAAGAGGATTTTTACAAGTGTTTGCATTAACTGTGCTCCCTAAAGTACTGCTACTTCAGAACTTTCATCTTTGTCTTCCCTACAAACTTAGTAACTCCAATCTTCCATCTCTTCTGTATTAGGATCTTGTCTACTCTTTAGATTGTTGATCTGTGAATCCTTTTTGTACTATGGTTTTTGAGATGAGGGGACTTGTAGCAGCACAGCAATTAAGACGAGATGATTCCCTTTCGTATCATAATTTCCAGTTTTCCAACTCTTTAAAAACTTGACCCAATACCTTGTTTTTTCTTCACCGCTTTACTTTTTTAGTAAACTGTCCTTGGAGGACACACAATTGTCTTTCCTTGAGGAGGCATAAGTAGTTTAGAATCCAGAAAATACTGACTTCAGTGTGTGTACTCTGAAACTTTTTCACTCTCAGCTGAGAGTATGGCAATTTCTTAAACTACCTTTGCAGTTTCTGCATTGGTTGTACAATCATATCCAAAAAATATTAGTGGTAAAAGCTGCTTGTTATCATAATCAACCTTAATATAAGTCATTTAAGATAAGTAATCCCAGTAGTTAATATCAAGACAATTATATTTTTTTTTTTTTCTGCCACTTTTGTGTTTCTACTTTTTCAAGACCCCTTGAGCTGGCACTGCCCTGGCTTTGGTGACACAACACTGGTTTACTTTTCACCTCTTATTGCCAGCACCTTTTCTTCCAAAACTGATGCTGTTTTGTGAAGTTTTAGTACCCCCAAGCAGGGAGGAGAAATGATTTTATTTCACGAATGCTAGCCTTTATTTAGGGCATAATTGATAAATGTAGACAATAGTACAAGGTACAGTTGTGTGATTGCCTCCAATGTCAGGAAATAAAAATGGTGAGTTAGGAGGTCCCTGTAGCTTTTTGCAATGGTTAAAAATGGCTAGAAATTTTCTGCTATTCCTTCTGAATGTGAAATAATCTAAAAACAAATGTTGTGCATATTACCAAGGACATTACACTGCTGAATTACCTGGTAGGGACAGATTTGTTATAACTGGTATTTAGTTACTCTGAACCGAGGTATCCTGAGGAGTACTATAGGTATAAAATGGAAGTAAAAATACATAGGTCTAGAAACACAGAAGTTAGCTCAATAGTTTATCTTCTCTTAAGTGCCATTTTTTTTGTTGCGTAGAACAATTGCTAATAGAAATGCATGAGTGGCAGCTTGAATATATGCCACTGAGGTGTCTACAGTTCTTTTCAGACTTGAAAACTGTATCTAAGGGTGCTAAACTAAATGGGAGGGGTAAGATAACAGTATAAACATATGCAGCTGAATGAAACCTGTTCATACTGACATCCTTCAAAAACAAAGCACAGTTTATTCATGCAAAATATTATATAGGAATGCAGTAGTTTTACATCAGTTTTCTGGTGGGCTGTGTCAAAGGTGTGGAGGAAATTTGGGAATTCAGAGATAGTGGTGGGGGTAAACTTGGAGCAACAAGCTGCTTTCATACAGGCTCATGTATTTTCTATTGGACAGTTTTGTGAGAAGCTTTCCGTTGTATAATTTCTTGCCCTTTGGTTTGAAATGTAAACCTGTCTATTCATGGTTTTGATAAAGACCCCATGTCAGTTCCTTGTTCTTTCTCACCAAACCGAAGGAAAACAAAAGCGTCTGAGTTATTTTTGGTGTTTTAATAAAAGTTCTCCCAGGAAAGCCTTTTATCAGTTTGTGTCAAACTTAATGCATGTCTTACCATTCGAGGAGTCTTCAATGCAGCATATTGAATCTTGAGTTACCTGTTTGGAAGCGGTTTGATGTTGAGCTTGGGAGGCACCAGGCATTTTCACAACTGGATCTGTCTTTGAAACTGTAGAGATAATGGTAGAAAGAATGAGTTTGAAGAATGATTAGTGTAGTTTTTTCTCTTGTCAGTATGCACTGGAACGGCTGAAGGTGATGTGTGAGGAAGCACTCTGTAGTAACCTCTCGGTAGAAAATGTTGCTGACATTCTTATCCTCGCAGATTTGCACAGCGCTGAACAGTTAAAAGCACAAGCAATAGACTTTATTAACAGGCAAGTAATATTTATGTGATTCTAAAGATATTTCTGTTTATGCTTTGTGTGCCTTTTCGATATCAGCACTGTTCTCTCTTACAGGTGCAGTGTTCTTAGACAACTTGGGTGTAAAGATGGGAAAAACTGGAATAGCAAGTAAGTTCCCCTGCCTCACGATGTTCTGTACAAACACTGCTAAGTAGACTGCAGATCTTAAGAACTGTTGCTTCATTTCCACACTACTGAGGCCGGTCACTGACTGTAAGTAAAGTAGGATTCAGCAAATGCTACCCCAGTTATGATTGTGACTTCCTCTTTAAAAGATAGGGAGAGTTAACTGCCTTCCAGTGTGAGATCCTACCAACAGCTGGTGTTTGTTCCCTTCCTAGGGACATAGTGGTGCTGTGAGGTGGGAGCAGCAACCTTTATAAGGGAAACCCTTCTCTTGACTAGCCAGGTTCGTGCCTGGAAGAGTGACAACCCCAGTACAGTTTCAAGCCTTGCTTAGGTCAGTCTGTGTTGCCTGAGCTGCAGTATCTCCCAAGGAAAGGAGGGCAGTTGCTCTTCCTGCCCTTGGCGACACATTTGTGCACCTTCCCACATGCCAGCACTGGTAGTGTTGAGGCCACACAACTAGTCAGTCAGGTTCCTCTGATCTGACTGACTCCAAGTGCTCAACCCTACACTGGAAATAGGTTGGGAATGTGTCTCAGACTGTAGGGCTGATTGCAGCATATACTTGAAATGGCTTAGGTGAATCAAGGCATAGAAGACAGTCAGCTTTAGAATAGCCAATGGTAGGCTGAAATAGTAAAAGGTCAGCAGAGCACTTAGTACTGTCAGAATCTCCAGAGAAGTTAAAGGCTGTGGTGTACCAGTTATTTAGTGTTTCTGCTTTTTATAAAAAAAAAAAGTATTCGTAGGCCTAGTGATTGAGCCTGATGCAGAAAAGAGGGTGGTAGAAGATAAATAGTAAAATATCAGTAAGAAACCTAGTCAAGGAATACATAATGATGTAAACTATGTGATATGTTCCTTCTCAAGTGATTTGGAACTTAGCGAGCTGACTTCTATCCTGGATAATTGCTAGTAAAGATGCTGGTCATCTTTGCTTCAGCCAGAGCATCTACAATAAATCAGGGAAAAAATGTGAGAGAGCCTGGCTGAATTTACTGACTGGGCACCAGGGCAGCTGAACTTTGGTATTGTTTCTCAAGGCACTTACCTTTCCTGATTTGCAGCAGAAGATTAAAGGCTTGCATTAGAAATCCTCAAAAGGCTTTTTAGAGATTGTGTAGTCTACAGGTCAGCTGCTAACTTTATGCTTGATGGTGAAACAGTCAGAGGGTGCTCATGAAATTTGGGATTGGTGCATAAGCTGTTGGTTCCAAATTACACATTTATCCTGTGTCAGTGTCGCATGCATCCCAGCTGGTGTAATATTCTTCATGTGCACAGCGAATGTTACGCTTTTGTTCTATACTGTTTCACAAGAAAGAAAATACCTATGTTGAGTAGATGCATAGTATGCATAATTTTTAATCTCCTGGATGTCAATGTGATGTTTGCTGAAACCCATTGTTACTTTTGTGTTAGTTAAAAGCCAGTGGTGGCCATTGAAAGCTGTTCTGAATGTAGTCTGTGATCTTGTACTGAAGAGACAGTGAATATTCTCAAGTATGCTCCACTGGTACTGAAACTGTAAGCTTCTGGTGACACCAGCCAGCTAATCTATCTTCATGGCATTTTCTAGTATATGAACTGCATCCTTTTTGCTGCAGTTTCATCTGATTCATCTTGTCATCCTTCTCTTTCCCCGAATCGAGCATGTTCTTCTAAGCAATAAGATTATCATGACTTTCCTTGGTTTTTGTTTCTACACTAGACCTTTTTTTTCTGATTTTTATTGGTTTTCCTAAGCTGTTTCCAGGTGGTTATCTTAACATGGTGCCCATTACTGGCCGCAGTTCTCTAGCTGAGATCTTGCTGGTATTGAGTAGAGCAGAATAAGTACCCTGTGTCCTTCATTTGGTGATATTAGTGTAACCAAACTGCAGTTTGCTACTTCTTTCCAATGGCAGCCTAACTGGCATTCATAAAGTCTGTCTCATAATTCTCAACCGCTCCTCTGCAGTCGTCGTGCCTTTCCTGCTCTTCTCTGCTGTGCATTTGGTTTGTAAAGTTGTGTGACTGTTCTTAATCCTTCTGTTTTCAGCCAAGCAACAGACATAATGGAAACAGCAGGCTGGAAGTCCATGATCCACTCCCACCCTCACTTAGTAGCAGAGGCCTTTCGCGCACTAGCGTCTGCACAGTGTCCACAGTTTGGCATTCCACGTAAACGGCTAAAACAGTCATGAAATCTTCCATGAACTTTAGAGAAATTGAATTGACTCTACTCCTCCATGTCCAGAGGTGTTTTCACAAACCATAACAAGAGTTTTTGTTATCCTTGTCCACAGAACAGAAGCTGAAAAAGCCTATTGTTTGCTTTTCAGAGGGATAATTTATGGTTTAATCCTCAGCTTTAAATTAGACTGATTAATTCACTGAAAGGCCTTAAATTATCTTCAATGACTCTCTAGTCCATATAGTCTAATGTATCTTGATTTTTTTTTTTTTTTTTTAAAATGTGCCTTGTCTTTTTGACTAGGCTCTGCAGGATTGCACTAGCTCCATAATGCAGTAAAGTTGATAACTGAAGATTAATTTTTGAAAGGGATCTTCCATTATTTTCAGAAGAAAAAAAAATGAGTATAGTTTGGTCCTGTGCTAACTGGAAGGTTTAACTAGCCTCTCATTAAAAGTGCTTGAGCCAGAGGTACATAATGTACCCTGCACAAGTGCTAAATATAGGGAGAGCCTGGTTACCTTCAGCAAATGCCTACAGGCTATTTATGGCAATATACTGCTTTGAACATAATTTATTTTTCATTGTGGGGGCAAATATGCAATGGTTTGGCCCAAAACTGTATTTTCATTACAGTTTGTAATGCTTATTGTGTGTGTGTCAAAGCTGTCCGAACGGTGAAAAGAAACACAGAATAAACCTCTTGCTTGTGTTTCTTTCCGGTCCATCATTAGTTTACATTTACTGCAGAACTGAACGAGAGGTGAAGAGTTCAATGTGAAAACAGGATAGTGTTGTAGATGGGAAAAAAATACATCCCCCATGTGTGGTTACATAGAAAAGTAAAGGATGCATAGAATGACCAAATGTAAATTGAGGAAATGGGCCAAATGGATTCTGAATATGCACTTTTAATGTGTAACTTTTGTATGTTGTGTGGTACATATATATTTTGCTTTTGAATTAATGAGGTACAGGTAATTGTGGCTTAACTTTTTAGATACTTTTTGAGATGCCCACAGCCACATGGGATTTAGTTTTGTTAGAAAAGAAAGGCATGTCTTTTTAAGACTCGACTGAAGGTGGCTATTGCAAGCTTTCCTATTGAAGTAACAGAATATTTTAGCTAATTTGAAAAAGGCATGTGAATGATAAAATTTCAAAGGGATTTTTTCCCACCTTGCCGTGTGTGCTCAGCTTCCATTAACACCCGTGGAGGTTATGTACACATCAAGAGGAATCTTTCCCTGAAATGTCAGATGGTGTTTGCAGGCAGAGACTTGCTCAGTCTTGCATTTCAGTTACTGTACTAGCATTGTGGATGGTATTGAAATTCTGCATAATGTGAAGAGGACAAAACATTTGTAAACTGCTTGTCACGGGCCAGTTCTTTATTATATGAACTTTAGCTTTAATATCAACATCCTCAGTGTTTGATAGCTTTGTTTACAATTGGGAGGAAAAGTCTGCAGTAGTGCACACTCTAAATGTTTCCTGAGTTATTGCATTGAGTTTACTGTAATATTGACAGTATGCTAATATTTCTTTTTTGGGATGACTTGGGTTTAGCAGTGGTGAATGGGAGAAGATCTCACCTAATTTATAAACATATTTGCATAAGGAGTTTAGGTTGCCTATTAAAAAAAAAAAAAAAGTTATGCAGGGAGGAGAGGGGAAGAATTTCAGATGGTTTACTGTCCTAAAATCTATCTCCATCCACATGTCATGAAGATTCATCTGGATTGCTCCAAACGAAAGTTTTAGAGGTTTTTTTGTGTATAGTTTTATACTTTGGCACCTTGTAAACCATTACAAAGCAAAGATAAATTGGAAAAAATGCCCAGTCCAATTTTGAAGAATAAAATAACCTCTAAACTTGCATTTTCTTCTTACCTTCTGACTAAATCTTTATGATGGATAAAGTGTAAAATCAGAAACTTTAATAGTACATAAGGCGTCAAATTATATATTTACAGAGATTTATCCTTTTATCAATTTTAAAATATTTATCTAAAATAAGGTCTCATAAGCATTCTTTACAATAAGATGTAAAGGTAATTGTTCCCTCCAAAATAGTGATGTTTTTGCTGCACTGTGTAATGCATTAGGACTATACATCATCATACTCATCAGTGGTAAAACTTGCAGCTCTAACATACAAAGTGACTTGAATATCTAACGCTGTAATGATTGTCCAGTTTAGCTTGTTCTGAAGTAAAAACATACCATCATCAAATGGAAAATGTAAGGAATTTTATGAAAACTTTGTTTTTCAGATGCTTAATAGCACACTTTGTACCAAAAAAGGCAGACACTGTGCTGTGATGTCACCTACATTGTAGAGTGTCCACTTTTCAATCAGGCAGTGTATACCACAGATTACACTAACAGGAAGAGAGCAAACCGATTGATCTGGTTAGATTTGACTTTATTTATTTATGGTTTTTGAGTTTTGTCAGCTCTTAAGAAAAAGGTAAAACACAGTTGCTGTATTCTTAAGTGAGTGCACTAATTATCCACCTTCTCTTTAACTACATGCAGTGTTCTCACTGGAACGGGGTGGCTGGTGATTACAACCTTCCCCTTCGGATTCAGTAGCTTGTTTGTGTCCCCCACGCCTCAAGAGCTCGCCCTTCCAAACCTCTGTTGTCAGCTCGAAGTGCAGCAGATATAAAACTATCTAATACAGTGGACAGTTGTTTCAGGCTGAAATCTTAGGGATTTTTATCTTAGTTTTCTATACAGATTAGGAATATGACGTATGAAGGTGCCACGTTTTGGCTTGCCAACACTACTCCCTGGGATCCGTGTGACCCAGCGCTTCCACGCTGTTCTGGGGAGAGCCCTGCATGTGTCCCGTGTGTGTGCGCCTGTGTGTATGACTGTGTGGTGTTCTTTTGTCCAGAATGACTTTCTAAAAACAAGGACTCAATTTGCTGTTAAAATGCTGTTATGTATTATTGATATATATTTTGTTTTTCCATTTGAACCTCTCCTAAGGAGATTCTTCGAGTGGAAGATGCTTCAGTAAATAATCCTTATTTCCTAGTCCATTTACTGCATGCAGAAGTATGAACACATTGTGCCTTTTTAGGAAACTGTTGTAACGAGGGGAAGATTTATCAGGATACAAGATCTATTTAAAAGGTGTTTTTAAAGGAGAATGCTATTTGATAAACTACTGCGGTGGAAAAGTTACCGATTACCCATCTGAGCTCTGTTGCATGTTGATTCTTGCTTCCTAAATTCAGTTTCACTGATGTAGAAACTACACCAAAAAAAGTGGATTAAGTATTACAGATACAAGTTCAGTACTGGTATATTTTTGTGAAAATGTGAAAATATTTGCTGTTACAAGATAAGTGTATGTCAAAATGTGGTAATCATGGACACAAAGTTTTACAAGTTACTCTAGTTCTGGTGTTTTTCTAAACGTTGAGTATTTAGTATAAAATTCACCTTTGCACAGAAGGTCAGTAAGAGACCCATGTGGAGATTGTTCCTTTTAAATCCTCATGGCAAGGTTTTTCCTCCCTTGGGAGAATAAAGCGATGTGCAGTATTTGAAACTGTGTTTCATACAAGACAGTGAATTGCAAATGTGAGTTATTACTACCTGAAATATTGTTGAATTTTGCAGTTGATTAGAACTCCTAAGCTTAATTGATTTATTTTTTGTAATTGACAGATGGAATGTTACCTGTCTTCTTTGTCTGGTGTTGATAGCATATTTTGTGCAGAGTGTAGCTCCTTAGATAGCTAGACACTGACTTAGTCTCATAACTTGGCTTCTGCTTACAGTAAATGGACTACGTTTGTAAAGGGAATTCACAATTTCAAGCGTTTTGCAAGGAACTTCACCATATTTGTAACCTGGTTTTTGAAGGCTTAAGATCGATGAGTCCTATTTTAGAAATTAAACCAGTGAAATGACTTGGACCTGTTTTGGGGTGGAAATGATTAAAAGAATTCAGATATGTAAACAGTTGTATCAAACCATCCAGCCTTTTTTTATCAGCTGATGTTAATGGTGAAATACTTTTTGTACCTTGTTGCTGAAAATATTTTTGCGTTTCAGCACGTCAAGTTACAATAAAGTTGTTACTTATAAAGAACGTGTCTGTGTGGCTTGTATTTGTGCTGGTTTTTTTCTCTTTTCCTGTATACGCTCACAATGGCTACCTTCTGCTTCTTTGAGGAAGATATTTTACCAGCACTATCAGTCGGTCTGATATAAAATATACTGCTTTCGTTCAAGAAACCCTTTTTTTGGGAGGATCATATTGCAGTCTTGTTTTGATCTCCACTAACTTAATTATTTTTCCATTTTGAACACTTTGAAATAACTTGGAGCTCTGTACAGCTTATAACTTGCCTACCTGAGAAGTGACTGACAGCCTTTACAGAGACCCCATCAGAACTGGTGCTTGGTGGGAAGAATTCATCCTGTGGTAATGAAGATGGGCTTCCTGGTTTGAGAGATTGGGTCCCTTTTTCTATCAAGCTGACTGTTTTGTTTTTTTTTTTTTTTTCCCCTGCCAAGGATTATAGGCTTGTAATGACCACATACAAGAGGAGTGTTGCTTGCACTTGTTATGGCAGAAGTGGTGTGTAAGAATAGCCTATATGGGTAGTTCATGGGGCTTAATATGTTTATAGATGTTGCCAAGATATGTAGGACTGTCGATATTGCTGCTCTCTGCATGTGACTCTGGATGCACTGATCTCCAGAAAATGATGATCTCAAGGTAAGTTACTTCATAAAAAGTGGTGCAGGTGATTTGAACAAAGACAATGACCTGTCTTGTGTCATCTATGCTATGGCGAGACTGTGGCACAGCTGACATAAGTTCTGCCTAGGATGACTTGATCCCTGAAGTTACTCTGCAGTGATTAAGCTTAAGGTTCCTTATGGTGCTTACATCAACAGTGGCATAACCTACACCATTACAGGTGGTTTCAGTCACCTCCAAGGTGAATGTGACTGGTTACCCCTGTGAATGGTAACCAAAGTCCAAATTTTTTGAACTGAGCTTCAACTTTTAGGTAAAGAATACTAAAATTCATAATTTTTTTTTTTAGAATGCTATATTTCTGCCCTCAGTCTTTTTGAGGGAATTTTTCTTCTGAGATGTTTATATTGTCATCGCACAAGTCTTTCTTCATTGTTCAGCAAAATGGATTCAGTTAGCAGTGATTTTAAAAAAAAAAAAGCACCTATTTTCCTTCTAAATGGAATTCTGATGATCTTTTGTGTGGACACTGGGCACATAAAGCTTTTCCTCCATTTAGCTGAATGCTTCTGTTAAAAAAAAATAAATTATGGTGTCAATCTGTCTGAGCCCTGGTTTAACTAAAATGTTGCTAGTAACTTTATCAGGCTTTTGAGAATTCTCATTTGATGTCTAATGAATGTCCTTCCCTTTCCATAAAAGGGTAGAGCTCAGATAATGAATCTCAATTGGTAAGATCAGCTGTTAGAGTAAAAAGCACCTCTAGCTGTATGGAGCTGCCAGCCCTGCCGTGTGCTGAAGGTGTAGTCTGATGTCCTACTGAGCAGTGCCAGCTTAGAAAGTCCCTGTTACTGCCACTGGAACCAAGTGTTTCAAAGTGCAGCCTGAGCAGTCACAGGGGAGAAATGGTGATTAACGTGTGTCTTCATGCCTCTTCAGAGTTGTCTCTGATGA